TACATTATATATATATATATATATATATATTATATTATATATATATATATATATATATATATATATTCACATAGAAAAACGCTGTTTTAAATTGTAATAATATTTCACAATATTACTGTTTTTTTATCAAATAATTGCAGCCTTGGTGAGCAGAAGAGACTTCTTAAAAAACATAAACAATCTTACCGATCTAAAACTATACATTTCTATATACTAACAGCAGTGTCGCTCCACACTGGCGAAGAGGGGACATTCTGAACGATATCTATCCAACCAAGCGGGGACTTTTGTGTGTGTGTGAACTGGCAGTGAAATCTTTCTTAATTACGCTTACATTATATATCTATTATATACATTATATATATATATATATATATATTCACATAGAAAAACGCTGTTTTAAATTGTAATAATATTTCACAATATTACTTTTTTTTTTTATCAATAATTTCAGCCTTGGGTGAGCAGAAGAGACTTCTTTTAAAACATTAAACAATCTTACCGATCTAAAACTATATATTTCTATACTACTAACAGCAGTGTCGCTGTACACTGGCAAAGAGGGGACATTCTGAACGATATCTATCCAACCAAGTGGGGACTTTGTGTGTGTGAACTGGCAGTGAAATATGTCTTCATTACAGTTAAATTATATATCTATTATACATTATGTATATATATATATATATATATATATTATATACTATTTTCTTATTTAACGCTCTCTCTTCATATACTTTCTATGCTTTGTTATGCAGTCCCTAACAATTTACTTGCCATAGTTATGTGCCATTGCACACACATGTCTATATTACTAACATATACATGTATTAACACAGCAGTGTCGCTGCACACTAGCCAAGAGGGAACTTTCTGAATGATATCTATCCAACCAAGTGGGGACTTTGTGTGTGAATTGAAGTGGCAGTGAAATACACATCCGTAAAGGGGGTCGCACACCGAATGAGAAGCGCAGCGCTGCGCCACGTCTAGGACAACTCCAAGTATCGCACACCGGACTCACTTTCTCATCAGTGTATGGCCAGCAATATTGTTATGTTTAATGACATGAAATGAAGATGTTTGTTCTGTGTTATAATTGTACTGTACAATTAAATACAATCGTTGCTGAGTCTGCAGTCTGAAAACTACCTCAGAGCATCAGTTAACTGAATGAATTGAGAATCTCACATGAAAACCCAATTACATCAGCAATTGTCATTCAAGCAGCTGATTTATGTAAATGAATGCAAAACTAAATTTATTGCAGCATAGGGCAAAGTCAGTATACATTATCAACGATTTGAGACAACAAAATAATTTAAACTTTATATAAAACTAAATGGCACTCTGTGGCGGCAGCAGGATTACATTCAAAAGGTCACGGCGACGTAGCCGTAAGTACAGAGTCAGTGTTTACAAGTTGAACGCATAGGTTGAACGTGAAAACTAACTCAAACGCCGTTTACAAAAAAAGGAATTAAAAGGTAAAACAGCGATGTCGGACGATTTTGATTCTGTACTTCCGGCTACGTCGCCCGTGACCTTTTGAACGTAATTACGTATTACGTGACGTCACAAACGCGCCTCACAGAATAGAGCTAGGCTAGCATTTGTCCTTAGAAAAGTTACATTTTTGGAATAAGTTTTGAAATAACCGATCGTTTCGCTTGATAAGACCCTTATTCATCGTCTGCTGCAATCTGAAAACTGTTATTAACTGTCTTTTCGACCTTGGACCGTCTGGTTCCCATGTAAGTCCATTATATGGAGAAAATCCTGGAATGTTTTCATCAAAAACTTAATTTCTTTCGACTGAGAAAGAAAATATGGACATCTTGGATGACATGGGGTGAGTAAATTACCAGCAAAAGTTTTTTAAGAGCCCAAACCTGTATATAAAACTCTTTTTATTTTAGATACACTAAATGCAGACAAAGAAAAGACAGGATTTTGATGCAATATGCAAAAAAAGTCAGAACAGTCACACAGCTTGATCAAACAGGATTATGTTATTTTATGTTTGAGATAGATATAGATAAATAAAATAAAAATATTTAGACATTTTTTTTACGTTGATCTTACCTAAATGGTTTTTTTTTTTTTTTGTTTTTTTTGTTAAGAGTTAAGTAACACATGGAAGCTTGATTCCAATCTTCGAATTAAACTGAAAAAGTAGCAAATAAATAGAATAGAAAAAGAGTTTTTTTGGTATGTCAGAAAATACTACAGAAACTGAAATAAAGTAATCCAATGTAAAATAACACTGGATAAGTCTTTTTAGTCCCAAGACTGAATTAAATACAAAGGCTATTAATTCTGATTGCTTAGAATTAATGCTATATTCTATTGTTTTAATTCAACAAATTAATTGACAGACAATATGGCTGCGTTCACTTTAAGAACGGATCCCTGTCTCATTTGTACTGTCTGTCTGTCACACGCGTTTTAATGCTTATTTTAAGACATTAGACTGTCTTTACGAGGTTACTCACCAATACAGAGTTTTGACATTATGTCGCGTGTTTTTTAACTGTTTAAAGCG